GGGGGGGGGGCGTAGGTTGAATGGGGGGCGGGGTGTACAGATCTACTTGAACGGGAAGCAAAAGTTGATACAAGGTGCGCAAGGGTATATAAGCAAAAGCATCCACCCAGGTGGACTAGCAAACTCCACCGTTGAGCAAAAGAAAGGGAAATGAACGCCAGCGGATCAAAAAAAAAAAAAAACTATTGTGGGACGTATGCGGAGGTGTAGACGTACATCGTCAGGGTCCTCGGACGACCAAGGCACCGAAAACAAAGTTGCGAAAAAACACGACACACACCTGCCCGCGAAGACACGAACCACAACAAAAACACAAATCGCTGTAGTACCCCCACCATTCCCAACAATCGAATCAAAGTACAACCCAGGTTATCGCAGGCAACTTTCATTCAAGGGGAGTGTTATGGAAATGTCTACGCATTGCCCCTCTCTTCGACAATGTAGACGAGTGACGTATTTGTTATCCATGTGTCGGTTGGAACGTAACCTATGCGGAGGAACTACACTGTACGTAGTCCGTCTGATGTTCTACCGTTCGGTGTTCGACCTCACTCTTCGGGATCCCTCTGTGGTCTATCGGACCGTCTGGGTACCTTAGCTGTCCTTGTCGCACCTTGGATGCTTCTGGCATACTGCCTAGACTGCAACCGTCTGTCTGGTGCACCTGTCAGTGTTGGCCACCTAAGCGCCGTGTTTACAACATCTCTCCATTGTCTTCTGCACTCAAGTACTGCTATGCTTGTGTTGCTACAAGCTCCACGAGCAATCACATCACTAAGCGTCTGAGGGCGTCAGCTTCTGCTGCTTGCTGGGGTATACACAACCCCCATACAGGTTATGAGCCTGCGTGCCCCAACGTCCGAAACTACCCCATTCCATGAATTCATCACCCAACCTACTTGTGTCTCTATCTCAGACTCATCATCTGCGAAAGAGACTATCCTGTCCTGTACTTTCTGTTGGCCCAATAATAATAAGAGACAAGACGAGAAACCAGACAATGACGCTGACACTTACATGGTCCAGATGGTGCCATCAGGCCCCTCTAGGAAGAGGTCGAGGTCGTGCACCAGCTGCACCGAGGACGAAGTCGTGGCCGGAGGGTCCATCCACACCAGGGTCGCCCGGATGCCCCCGGGCCCGCTGCCCGACCCCCCCGCCACCGCTGTGTCCGCGTCCTCCTCCGACACCGTGAACGTCCGCACCTCCGTCTCCATGGCTTCGACCTGAGAAAAGAAACACACAACGAGATAAGCAACGACAACAACAAAGGAAAAAATCGAACCCATCATCCACCCTAACCTGTCTGGCGCTCGTACCGCGCGCGCACACACAAGGCAAAACAAAAAGAAGCCCCGACGTACGTACTCATGCCTCGATTTAAAAAAAAAACGACAAGAATCGAATCCATGACCCACCTGTCCCGCGCTCGTCGTGGAGCCGTCGGCGTCCTCGATATACAGCGCCCACAAGCCCTCCCCTTCGAAGGGCAAGGCCGAGTCGAGGTTGATGCGGCCGAACCCCCTCTGACCATCGGGGTCGGTGCTGCCGCCCATCGCGTCCGCCCCGTGGATGAGCAGCGCCTGACGCACAAGACATAACAAAAAAAATGTTCAAGCAGGTGTTCGTTTCGTACGATGAGAGGAGAGGGAACCTGAGGTGTTTCGTATGATACGTGCTGCTGCCGTAGGTGTTGGGCATGTGCAAGACGGAATATCATGCTTACAAAGTAGGTAAAGCAGGTGTGTGCGAGATGAGGATCATGCGTTCATGTACGTACCGCTGTCTGTTTCGGGCGAGAAGAGGAAGATCGAGTGAGATGATCGGGTCTGCAAGGGCACCGACGGGGGCAGACCCTTCATGCGACTCGCCGAATCGGCACCTCGCGCTTGGTGATGTGAGAGCCTGGTCCGGTGAGAACCCGGCGTGCTCCGTCCCGGCTTTGTAGGGATGCGAGGTCAATGGTC